TCAACATAATTCACCACATAAATATGAGAAAAAAAGAAACACATGATCATCTCAATAGATGCAGAAAAGACATTTGATAAAATCCAACCCTCATTCCTGATAAAAACTCTCAATAAAATAGGAATAGAAGGGAATTTCTCAACACAATATAAGGCACCTATACAAAACAAACAGCCAACATCATTCTCAATGCAGAGAGGCTGAAAGCATTCCACCTGAGAACTGTAACAGGACAAGAATGCCCTTTATCACTACTCCTGTTTAACATCATGCTAGAAGTCCTAGCTAGAGAAATAAGGCAAGAAAAAGAAATAAAGTACATCCAAATTGGTAAAGAAGAAGTAAAACTATCCCTACTTGCAGGAAATATGATACTATATATAGAGAACCCTGAAGATTCCACGAGAAAACTACTGGAACTAATAGAATGATTTAGCAGTGTAGCAGGATACAAGATCAATATACAAAAATCAGTTGGATTCCTATACAAGAACAAAGAGAATTACAAAAAGGAAATCAGGAAAATAATACCATTTATAATTGTTGGTTGTTGTTGTTAGGTGCCATCGAGTCTGTTCCAACTCATAGTGACTCTATGTACAACAGAACGAAACATTTCCCAGTCCTACAGCATTCTCACAATTGTTATGATTAAGCGCAATGTTGCAGCCACTGTGTCAATCCATGTAGTTGAGGGTCTTCCTCTTTTTCGCTGACACTCTAGTTTACCAACCATGATGTCCTTTTCCAGGGACTGGTCCCTCCTGATAACATGTCCAAAGTTGTGAGCCAAACTCTCGTCATCTTTGCTTTTCATTTATTATCACACCTAATAAAATAAAATACTTAGGAATAAATCTAACTAGGGATGAAAAGGGCTATACAAAGAAAACTACTACATATTACTGCAAGGAACCAAAAGAGACTTATGTAAATGGAAAAACACACCTACCCAAAGTGATCTACAGATACAATACATTCCCGATTCAAATACCAACAGCATTCTTTAACAAGATGAGAAAACTAATTATTAACTTTATATGGGAAGGAAAGAGTCCCCGGATAAGTAAAGCATGATTGAAGAAGAACAAAGGAGGAGGCCTAACTCTACCTGATCTCAGAACCTACTATACAGCCATGGTAGTCAAAAAAGCCTGGTACTGGTACAAAGACAGATATTTAGACCAATGGAACAAAATTGAGAACCCAGACGTACCCACAGTCAGCCGATCTTTGACAAAGGCCCGAAGTCCTTTAAATGGGGAAAAGACAGTCTCTTTAACAAATGGTGCTGACAAAACTGAATGACCATCTATAAAAAAATGAAATAGGAGCCATACATCACACCATACACAAAACTAATTCAAAATGGATGAAAGATCTAAATATAAAATCTAAAACTATAAAAATCATGGAAATAAAAGTAGGGACAATGCTAGGGACCCTAATATATGACATAAATGGGATACAAATCATAACTGACAATGCACAAACACCAGAAGATTAGCTAGATAACTAGGATCTTCTGAAAATTAAACACTTATGCTCATCAAAAGACTTTACCAAAAGAGGAAAAAGAGAACCTACAGACTGATGAAAAAAACTTGCTTATGACATATCTGACAAGGTTTAATCTCTAAAATCTATAAGATACTGCAACATTGTAACAATAAAAATGCAAATAATACAATTTAAAAAATGGGCAAAGGATATGACCAGACACCACCCTGAAGCAGACATTCAGGAGGCTAACAGATACATGAGGATATGTTTGCTATCATTAGCCATTAGAGAAATGCAAATCAAAACTACAATGAGATACCATCTCACCCCAACGTTGCTAGCACAAACCAAAAACACAGAAAATAACAAATGTTGGAGAGATTGCAAGGAGATTGGGACTCTTATGCACTCCTGGTGGAAATGGAAAATGGTAAAAATCACTACAGAAAACCACATGGTGCTTCATTAAAAAGCTATAAATAGAAGTACCATATGATCTAGCAATCCCACTCATGGGAATATATCCTAGAGAAATAAGAGCCATCACAGTAATAGAGATATGCACACCCATATTCATTGCAGCGTTATTCACAATAGCAAAAAGATGGAAACATCATAAGTGCCCATCAACAGATAAATGGAAACAAATTATGGTACATACACACAGTGGAATACTAAGCCACAATAAAGAACAGGAATTATCCAGTAAAACATCTCATAGCATAGATGAATCTTGAGGGCATGATGCTGAGTGAAATAAGTCAATCATAAAAGAACAATGTATGAGACCACTACTATAAAAACTCAAGAAAGGATTACACACAGAAATAATTTTTGATGGTTACAAGAGAGGAGAGGGGTCAGGAGGGGAAATCATTAACTAGATGGTAGAAAAGTGTTGACTTTGGTGAGGGGAAAGACTTTACACGTTATAGGGGAAATCGGTACAACACGGCCAAGGCAAAGTCATAGAAACTTCATAGACACATCCAATACCTTGAGAGACCAAGTTACTGGGCTGAGGACTGGGAATGTGGTCTCAGGGAACATCTACGTCAATTGGCATAACATAGTTCATAAAGAAAATGTTCTACATCTGATTTTTGTGAATAGTGTCTGGGATCTTAAAAGCTTTCAAGCAGCCATCTATGATACACCTACTGGTCCTATCCTTTGTGGAGCAAAGGAGAATGAAGAAAATCAAAGACACAAGAGAAATGTTAGTCCAAAGGACTATTGGACCACAAGTAGCACAACATCCACCAGCCTGAGCCCAGAACAACTAGATGGTGCCCAATTACCACCACCGACTGCTCTGACAGGGATCACAATAGAGGGTCCCAGACTCCCAGACAGAGTGGGAGAAAAATGTAGAACAAAATTCACATACACAAAAAAAGATAAGACGTACTGGTCTAACAGAGACTGGAGGAACCCTGAGATTATGGCCGCCAGAGACCATTTTAACTCAGAAATGAAGTCACTCTGAAACTTTACCCTTCAGCCAAAGATTACACAGGTCTATAAAACAAGTAATAACATATGCAAGGGCCATGTCTCTTAGCTCAATCACGTAAATGAGATCAAATGAGCAACACCTGCCCAAAAGCAAAGATGAGAAGGTAGGAAGGGACAGGAAAACAGGACAAATAGAAACGGGGAAACTGGAGTGGAGAAGGGGAAAGTGTTGATACATGGAGGGGATTGCAACCAATGTCACAAAACAATTTGCATATAAATTGTTGAAAGAGAAACTAATTTGCTCTGTAAACTTTCACCTAAAGCACAATAAAAAAAAATTACATTAACTTTTTTTGTAATAATAAAGAATTAGGGTGAAGTATAACATTAAATGTGGGTTTTAAATTAATAAGCATAGAATGGATATCTCTCTAAAGAATAAAATACACTGGACAAATACAAAAACAAAAAATCATATGGAATTGCATAGGACCCAGAATAGAAGAAGCAATCTTGAAAAGAAACGAAGACGGAGAACTCACATTTCCTTATTTCAAAACTTACTACAAACTTACTATATCTAACTAACGTAGCTAAAATAATCAAGGCAATGTGGTATAAGCATAAGGATAAACACAGAGATGATTGGAATATAGTAAAAAGTCCATAAATAAACCCATGTGACTAAGGTAGTTGACAAGGGTTCCAAGACCATTCAATAGGGAAATGAGCCTCTTCACCAATCGGTGCTGGGACAACTGGATAATCACATGCAAAAGAATGAAATTGGGCCTTTACCGCACGCCATATACAAAAATAAACTCAAAATGGATCAAAGACCTAAATATAAGAGCTCAAGCTGTTAGAAGAAAACAGAGATGAGTTTTTATTACCTCTGATTTGGCAGTGGAATCAGATATGACACCAAAAGCACAAGCAACAAAATAAAGCATAGAAATATTGGAATTCACAAAATTAAAATCTACGTTTGTGCTTCAAAGGATGCTACCAAGAAAATAAAATGATAAACTATTAATGCCATAAAAAATTTTCAAATCATATCTCTGATAAGGACTTATATCTAGAATATATTTTTTAAAACTTCTTAAAACTCAACAACAAAAACACAAACAACTGAATTAGAAAGTGGTCAAAGGGCATGAATATACTTTTCCCCAATATATACACAGATGGCCAATAAACACATAAAAAATGTTCAACATCATTCGTCACTAGGGAAATGCGAATTAAAAACACATGAGACACCACTTCATACCCACAAGAGTGGTTATCATCAAAAACATTTAAAAAAAAAAAAAAGCAACAATTATTGGGGAGGATGTGGGGAAATTGAAACCTCTGTACTCTGTTGATGGTAGTGTAAAATGGAACAACCTCTTTGGAAAACAGTTTGGTATTTCCTCAATAAGCTAAACAGAGAATTAGTATATGACACAGGAATTCCACTCATGGGTATATACCCAAAAGAATTCAAAACATATATCCACACAAAGACTTGTACATGAATGTTTATAGCGGCAATATTCATGATAGTCAAACGCAGAAAAATACACCAAATGTCCATCAGCTGAAGAACTGATTAACAAAATACAGTATGTCCACACAATATAAAAGTATTTGTCCATAAAAAGGAATGAAATATCCATACATGCTATAACATGAATGAACCTTATAAACATTATGCTAAGTGAAAGAAGTCAGTCACAAAAGACCATATATTGTAGGATTCTGTTTATATAAAATTTCCAAAGTAGGGAAATCTAGAGACAGATAGCAAATTAGTGTTTGCTTAGGGGTGAAGGATTGGGTGGGATTGAAATAGGATGATAGCTAAAGGGTGAGGGGTTTCTTCAGAGTTTATGAAAATTTTATAAATGTGACTATGGTGATGGTTGCACATATTTGAAAATAGTAAAAACCACTGAATTGTACACCGTAAATGGGTGCATTTTATGGTATGTGAATTATATCTCAATTAAGCTCTTATTAAAGATAAAAAACAGTAGTTCACACACTTATTGTCAAAAGCAATGGGTCCAAGAAGTCAAATTTTATGAGCTTCCTGATGTTTTGCACAAAGAGGTCTTGTGGGTTGTTGAGGGAATCGATGTTCACTCCAAATGACGTGCTAGTGATCACATCCATGCTGTAAGCCCCGAAGATGCTAAGTAGAGAGAGAAAAACAAATTTAAGATCATTATCTCTTCACTATCCCTGTGTAACACATTCAGCAAGAAGGGCATGTAAATTCATATGCCTGGGGAAAGACAGGGAAAGAGCCATACACTTTCAAAATCATCTGCTGGATCAGCTGAGGGTCTATGTGTCCATCATATTCATGGGGCATTTATCAGGTGACAATGATGAAACTGTCCCTACGCTAGTGATGACAGGGACACAAAGGTGTGTTAGGCCCAGCTCTGAGCTCTAGGAGCTCAGTCATACAAGGACGCTCCCACAGATGAGACAAACTACTGCAGTGAGTATTGAGTGAGGAAGATGACAAGTGTGTAAGAGAAGTGCTGGAGAAGTACAAAGGATAGAATAATGATTCTTCCTAGAAGAGTTCAGAAAGGTGACAGTGGATCTAATTCTTACTTCCTCATAACATGTATGCCCACAGCAGAATAATATATAGCATTTTGCTGGTATCTTCAGCAAACCCATGAACAGATTTATGTTGTTCCAACATCTACATTTGAACTTTCTTGCTTCAACGACTGAGAGCCAATAATAACCAAATCCCTTTCCACTCGCACTATTCCAAACCTCTTACACTCAACACTTAGTATTATCAATCATGTTTCCTCTTTCTTAAAGTTTTTTTGCTGTTGTTGTTGGTTTTTTTGTTTTGTTTTGTTTTTGTTTTTTTATGTCTTCTAGAAAATACAAGAACAATTAAGCAGATAAACTAATCCAGGCTCATGTACACAGTGGAGAAGACCCTTTCTCTCCTGGCTGTCCTACCATTTAGTGTGAGTCACGTTTCTTGGGTAACTCACTGGAGTTGTTAACACCATACACCTTTGTTTATTTGATCACTAGAGAAATTCACCTTTGAGGGTTTCAACTCAGTGGCAGGCAGCTGGGGGGGTTTATGACAGAGCTCAGAATCCCAGCCACCACACTCCTACTTACCATTTCAATGAGACAGGCTTGCCTTTGTGTGCTGCCTCTCTCAGATGCTTCACCAACATGTCTCCAAACTGGCTGATGATGGGGAACATCTAAACACAAAACATACTACCATCCATCGGTAAATATGGAGATCCAAGACATAGAAAGACCACCCTTTCCCAAGCAGGGAGCAGTAAGTGACAATTTATCATGAATCTTATAATGGCTTTTCTGGTATATAAAGATAAAAGACTATCTTAAAGAAGTTCAAACTCAGCTGACTATCCTCTGTCAAGGGACCTCACTTTCTGTCTGTCCACAGATCGGTTCCTTGAGTTTCTTATTAGCAGTCCTCTTATTTTCTAACCTCCTTGAGTTTTCCACTGCTGAAGGTTGGAGACAACAAAGTTCGTAGCCTCTTCCATTCTTCATCCTCAGATATGGAAATGGCAGATTTCATAAATCCTATTGGACCAATATTCTGGAATACAAAGCAAATGATATTTCCCCTACATAAGTTCCAGAGGTCTTCATAGTTGTAGATAATTTATTGGACAGGCATCATTTACTCAATAAATGCTTGAAGACTCTACTAGGTTGAAGACCCTAGGCTAGAAGTTCAATCGATATTTATCTCAAATGCTCCCTGTGAGAGTGGACACCCAGCTACCTGGTGTGGTTTCCAACATTTATTTGTCAATCTTCTTTTAAATGCAAATGTCCACAATGTAGGTAAAATCTTTTCCCAGGAGAATAGAAAGGAAAAAGACCTAATACATGCTCCAAGATTGTAAAAAGCAGAAGGGATTGCTGGCATAGCCAGATGACCTTGGCTCAAACCCGTTCTGTCATTACATATATCTATAGGATGAGCAACTTGAATAAGAGAAGTCTTGTTAATGTTAATGGTAAATTTTTTTTAAATAGTAGTTAATACTTTAAAAATTAAGAATATTTGATATGTGAAATCATACTATATGTGGCCATATGTGACTGGTTTCTTTCACTGAACACTTTCAGAATAGTATATATATATATTTGCTTTTCTGGAAAAAAAAGAAATTGCCCCTTACTTGTTCCCCCATGAATGGAAGGAAAAGGAAGGAGATAAGTCTATTTCCCAGCTTCAGTCTGTCCTATCAAGAAAACCTATTTGAAAATTTTCTTCCATATTCCAAAATTGTATAAACTAGAGCTAACATCATACTTAATGGTTTAAGAGTGAAAGCTTCCTCCCAAAGATCAGGAACAAGGAAAAACTTCCACTCTTATCACTCTTATTCAGCATCATATAGGAAGTCCTAGGTAGTGCATTAAGACAAGAAAAAGAAATAAAAGACATACAAATTGGAAAGGAAGAAATAGAACCGTCTCTGTTTTCACATGATATATAGTCATAATAAACAATTTCAAGAGTATGCAAAAACAAGAAAGCTAAAAAAAAACTCCCAGAACAGATAAATGAGTTCAGCAAATTTGTAGGATAAAATAGCAATACATGAAAATCAATCACATATTTGTATACTAACAATGAACATGTGGAAATTGAAATTAAGAAAACATTACCATTAACAATCATTCCAAAGAAAATGAAATACTTAGTTATAAATCTAAAATGATTGGTTGCTAACCAAAAGATTGAAGGTTCAAGTACACCTAGAGGCACTTCAGAAGAATGGCCTGGTGATCTGCATCTGAAAAATCATAAAAATCAAAAAACTTTATGGATTCCAATTCTACTGTGACACACATGGGGTTGCCATGAGTTAGAGTCAACTCAATGGCAACTCGTTTGTTATAACTATAACAAAAAACATACATGATATACTTACTGAAAATTACAAAATACTGATGAAAAGAAACAAAGAAAATCTAAACTAATGGAGAGATATACTATGTTCATGGATTGGATAATCCAACATAGTAAAGATGTTTATTTCCCCCAAATTGATCTCTAGCTTTAATTAGTTCTTATCAAAATCCAAGTAAGGTTTTTTTTAGACACAGACAAGCTTATTATAAGTTTGTAGGGAAAGCAAAACATTTTGAAAAAGGACTAAAAAGTGGGAAGAATAACTCTACTGTGCATTAAGATTTACTTTACAGCTGCAGGAAATGACTGCATAGCATTGGTGGAGGAATAGACACATAGGTTAATAGAAAAGAATAGAGAATAAGAAATAGACCCAAACAAATATGGTCAACAGTTATTTGACAATGGTGTAAAATTAACTTCATGGAGGAAAGATAGCCCTTCCAGCAAATGAAACTGAAGCAATTAGACATCCATTGGCAAAATAACGAGCCTCAACCTAAACCTCACAACACGTGTAAAAATTAACTTGAAATGAATCACAAGCTTAAACGTAAACGCAAAACAATAAAACTTTAAAAAAAATTGGAGACAAAGATGAAGGAGAAAAAGGAAGGGAAGACTAAGATGAAGACAAAGAAGAAAAATAAAGCAGAAGTGCAAGGAGGAGGAGGAGGAGAATGAGAGGAAGCAAATCTTCTGGACCTAGTACTAGGCAAAAAGCTTTCAGATTGGACCTCAAAAGAACAATTCATGAAAGCAAACATAATAAATTGTCCACAATTTTAAAAAAAGTTTGCTCAGCAAAAGACCCTGTTAAGAGGAAAAGACAAGGTATAGACTGACTGTAAAAAAAATAGCAAGAGGGAGCCTCATGATGGGGGAGAAGTTCTATAACTTTTTTTTAACTATTTTTATTTTTTTATTGGACTTTAGATGAAGGTTTACAGAACAAACTAGCTTCTCATTAAACCGTTAGTACACATATTGTTTTATGACATTGGTTAACAACCCCATGACATGTCAGTACTTTCCCTTCTCAACCCTGGGTTCCCTATTACCAGCTTTCCTGTCCCCTCCCACCTTCTAGTCCTTGCCCCTGGGCTGGTGTGCCCCGTTACTCTTGTTTTGTCCTGTGAGTCTGTCTAATCTTTGGCTAAAAGGTGAACCTCCAGAGTGACTTCATTACTGGGCTAAAAGGATGTCCAGGGGCCATACTCTCCAGGTTTCTTCAGTCTCAGGAGCAGTTCTATAACTTGATTGTGCTGGCAGTTACATAAATCTACACGTGATAAAACTGAACAGAGCTGCACTGACACACACAAACACACATGCAAGTGAGCGAACATAAAACTGATGAAATTCAAATAAACCCTGTGAATTGTACCAATGTCAATTTACTGGTTTGATAGCATATTGTAGTTACCCAAGATGTTAACATTGGGGGAAACTGGATGAACAGTACGTGAGACCTTCCTTATATGTTTGACTTTTTACTTTTTTTTTCAAACTTACTGTGAATCTATAATTATTTCAAAATTTAGAAGGTAAATAAATAAAATTTTCAATGAAAACATTGATACCTACCCTCCGGTTTGTGAAGATGGAATAACATTCTTTCACCAGTACCGTCTTGATCATGCATGGGTCTGTGATGGCTATTACAGGCAGTTGACCCTCATAAAACCTATATCCAAAAACAGCTGATTATCTTATCAAACTCAATTCTGCAACTGGAGCCACTCCTGAAAGACCATACATTCATTCTGATATGACAAAATCTATACTCCTAGTTGCCCAATACACAGAAACATTTTCCTTTAGTTCAAATTAAGTTATGATACACAGTAAGACTCTGACCACAGAACCACTAGAGTTCTCATAAAATAAAGGGACATTTAAAGACAAAAATAGCTCTTAAAAGAGACCGTGGTTAGAAGAATATTACGAGTGTTAAAGAGAGGTGATGGACGCATGGCTATTTCCTTTATCTTTCTTTGTAATTTTTTTATGTTTAAAATACTTCATTTTTGAAAAGACATTTTGCTAGTGAAAAATTGAAGGCAAATAATTATCTAAGAGCAAAATATAATTAATTAAAGAAATTCTATTCACTCAATCATTTAAAATTGCAATTGTAAAGGTACGTCAAAATATGAATAATACATATGGCATTATCAGATAGAATTATAGACATACTAATTACAAACATGTAAAAATATGTACACAGAAAAAATTTCGAATGCTAAAAAAGTGATAATAGAAATATGAATGATTTTTGCCCTATTTTCAAGAAATTCTAATCTTTTACAGTTTTTTTAAATATTATTTTACATATTAAAGAGAGGTATTTGGTAGCATTAAGCCTAGAAAAATTTTGAAAGAAAAATAAACAGGTATAAAGAAACATAGAGGATCATGTATAATTCATCTTTACTTTCTTTTTCTTACATTTATTCTTATACGTGGACCCCAAATGGACCTCAGTTCCATGTTGATGACATCATAGCATCAGGGAAATCCCACTTTGACAAGTGTGCCAAGCAAAGCTGAGTCTCTATACATGATATATCCAGATTGGGCCTGTTCTTCTGGCAATTAAGATGTTCATTTGTAGGAATAAGCCAATGGAATGAGATATACTGTAAGTTTACTTACACTGTCCTGACTTTTTTTTTTTTTTTTTCCATTACCTATCATTTGCATTTGTTAGAAAGTGGAAGAATTTTGAAAAGCTGCCTATTCTTTGACTTCACAGAGGAACCTCAAATGGCTCTGTGATGGCATATAAAACTTGTTGGGAACCACTGAGTGCAGTAAATTTCCAAAAATGGACACTCTGAAACTCAGGGAGTGTAAGAACGTATCAAGGATATTTAGTGCTGATCCTCTAAGTTATTAGGATGAAGTCTATTAGGATTAACACCTACTAAAAGGATTTGCAATATTACATTGACAGGGAAATGCCAGAAATTCAAGCCGGATTCAGAAGAGGATGTGGAACAAGGGATATCATTGCTGATGGCAGATGGATCTTGGCTGAAAGCGGAGAATACCAGAAAGATGTTTACCTGTGATTTATTGACTATGCAAAGGCATTTGACTGTGTAGATCAGAACAAATTTTGGATAACATTGCAAAAAATGGGAATTCCAGAACATTTAATTGTGCTCCTGAGGAATCTGTGCATAGACCAAGAGGCAGTCATTCAAACAGAACAAGGGGATACTGTGTGGTTTAAAGTCAGGAAAAGTGTACATCAGGATTGTATCCCTTCACCGTATTTATTTAATCTGTCTGCTGAGTGACTATTCCAAGAAGCTGGACTATATGAAGAAGAATGGGGCATTAGGATTAGAGGAAGACTCATTAATAACCTGTGATATGCAGATGACACAACCTTGCTTGCTGAACGTGAAGAGAACTTGAAACGCTTACTGATGAATACCAAAGACTACAACCTTCGGTGTGGATTGCACCTCAACATAAAGAAAACAAAAATCGTCACAACTGGACCAACAAGTAACATCATGATAAACGGAGAAGATTGAAGTTATGAAGGTTTCATTTTATTTGGATCCACAATGAACACCAATGGAAGTAGCAGTCAAGAAATCAAAAGAGTTATTGCTTTGGGCAAATCTGCTGCAAAAGGTCTCTTTAAAGTGTTAAAAAGCACAGGTGTCACTTTGAGAACTAAGAGACACCTAACCCAAGCCATGGTATTTTCAATTGCCTCATTTGCTTGTGAAAGCTGGACAATGAATAAGGGAGAATGTACAAGAATTGATACCTTTTAATTAAGGTGAATTATTTTATGGTGATACCAAAGAATATTGAACATACTACGGACTTCCAGAAGAATGAACAGTTCTGTCTTTGAAGATGGACAGCCAGAATGCTCTTTAGAAGCAAAGATAACCGCTGATTTTACCGAAATGTTGGCAGTTCAAACTCACCCAGTGTCTCGGAAGAAGAAAGAACTGGTGATCTGCTCATGTAAAGATTATATCCTAGAAAACACTATGAGGCAGTTCTACTCCATCACCAAGGGTCACTATGAGTCGGATCAACTCAACCGCACCCAACAAAAGGGTTTGAAATAATGCATTTTTATGCAATTAAAGAGGACCTATGGAAGAATAAATGGACAGAACTTAATGCTAGCAGTTTCTGGAGAAAAGTACTTGTCTACAACTTTGTTGTCCTTATTCAGACTGTAGACTGACACCAAGAGACTTATGATATCATAGGTATGACAAGTTTCCAAGAACTTTACAAGAGAAAGTTGATCCTATGAGGCTCTTGGCTGCAATTGTCCTCCACATAGCTGAGTGCCTCATCACAACAAGTTTTTCCAATGGAAGTTTCCAGAATACTCACCCCCATAATTTTCCATACTTTTTAGAACATTTCATGTCAAAATTCCACATACCCTGCAAGGAGAAACAAAATAAAATCAGGTTATTCTTTTAAATGTACTCAACTCTACCACTTTCTGGGTCAAAAAAAAAATTCAAATCAGATGAAAGCAAGCTAACTCTCTATTCTGGATAGAATTGTGTCTCTCAAAATGATATTTTAAAATCTGAACCTTCTATACCAGTGAATGTAAACTCGTGGGGAAATAGGGCCTCAACAAAGGGCTCAAACATATTAAAAATTATGGAGATGGTGCCAGATCAAATAACAATTCATTCTGTTACACAAGGTCACCATGAGTTGAAATTGACTCTACAGAAACTCACAAGAAAGATGTTATCAGGAACTTCCAGGCAACATGGTGCTTTAGACAGAAGCACCATGCCATCCCTCCAAAGCAAAGACCTGAAAAACTAAGTTGAAGAGAGACAAACATCAATCCTGAAACCCTAAGCATGAAGTGAAGAGATAAAGAGCTCAGCCAAGCACCAAATGGAATAAGAAACTGACAGAGAACAGAGACCAAGGAGAGATACACGCAGTGGTCCCCTATCAGCTAACACAGCACAAATTCGCCATCTTGGACTCCTGTCAGAGATTGGTGAACAGGGAGTATGGGAAAGCAGCTTCACAGAGCTCCCAGCAGGACACAGAACAACCAGTAACCAGAAATATACTCTTTTCCACCCCCCACCCTTCTTCACCCCTACTTGGACTGCTCTGCTTCCTGCAGCCACAGTCTCCTGGCTGGAAAGCATCTGATTTATCCCTGTGCCACTTGGATTCCACTCCGCCCACAATGGCCGGCTCCTTGAGTGCCATTTGTTTGTTCCTGGTGTTGCTTTTTTCTGCTTCTTTTGGTTTCTTCCATACCTCTCACCACCTCCCCCTCCTTTCTCCAAATACCTGGCCCCATGTGCCATCTCTGCTTCTTCCTGGAAGGCTACGAAACACTGCTCGACTGTGGAACTGCTTCCCGGCCAACATTGCCACGCTGGTGGGATCCCTGGGGCTTTTGTTTTGTTTGTATGTTTGTTTCTATTTGTTCTGTTTTGATTTGTTTGTTAGTTTTCTTTTTCTTTCCTTGGCTTGGGAGCCCCTTCTACCTGGGCTGTATGGTAGCTACTTTTCAGTCTTTGCAGCTGTGCAGTGGGATCCCTAGGAGCATTTATTTTCTCTTTTTTTGTTTTTTTCTTTCGTTTTCTTTTCTCTCTTTTCCCCTTTTTATCTTTCTTCATTTCTCAGTTTCTCATTTCTCTATACTTACCTTCTCTTTCTGTCTCCTGAATACCTGGCCTGTGTGACACCTCTACCCCTTCTAGCCAGGCTGTACTTTGTGGCCTGGAAGCCACTTCCCCAGTCTTTGCAGCCACACTGGTGGGATCCCTGGGGGCTTTTCTTTTCTTTATTCTCTAATTTTAATTATTTTATTTATTTCCTTTTACCATTTTTCTTTTTTCTTTTTGTTTTTCTTGATTTCTTAGTCTCTTATCTCTCCACTCCAATGACAAGCTCCCTTAGCACTGTTTTTTGTTTGTTTGCTTCTTTGTTTTTGGCTCCTGTTCCTCTCTCCTCTCTCCCAAACCCTTCTTAGCTCCACACATCACAATCTCCTCCCCCTTTCCTGCCTACTTGCACCGTGCACTGAACATCACACCCCTGAGCAGCATAGGCACAGCCTAGCAGCACAGGCATGACTGGAACCAGCCCTGCACTGATTCCTGGCCTGCCCTGTCAGCCATAGTATGTGCCACAAAATACCCACTCCACAAACTCCCCTTCAGCTGGACCTGCCCTGCTGCACCACAGCTGAGTGGCAGACCCTGCCCGTTGGAAAACAAGGTGAGAACTATCATGCCCACAGACAAGCAAACAACAAGAACCCATAGCCTGTCTGCTCAGACATAATCAAATAAAACAAAAAAGCAAACGAAACAAACAAATCTAAAATTAATAAATGAAGACGATAACTACTGAATGTCCAGAAGACAGCAGAAAATGTCAAAACATATTAAAAAAAAAAAAAAAAAGGACAGGATAGTTCCAGTAAGCATCCAAAATAAAACACCAGATGACTTTCCAGTAGAAAAAAAAGGTACTAGAACTACCTGATAAGGAATTCAAATCTCTAATATTCAGAGCTGTCCAAGAGTTGAAGCAAAAAGCAGACAAAAATGAGGAAAAGATAGACAAATTCATGGAAAATACAGACAACAAAATGGAAGAATGAAGGAAAATAATACAGGAACAAAATGCCAAAATAAATTCACAACTAGAAATCATACAAAAACAACAATTAGAAATCCAAAAGATAAACAATAAGATTTCAGAAATGGACAGTGTCATAGAAGGGCTGAGGAGGGTTTGAAATGATGGGAGACAGGATCAGCAAAATTGAAGACAAAACACTTGGATACGACTCTGTTTGAGGAAAAATCAGAAAAAAGAACAAAGAAAAATGAAGAAACTCTGAGAGTTATATGGAATACAATCAAAAGCAAAAATTTGTGAGCTCCAGAACAGGGGGATAAAACAGAAAACACAGAGAGGATCATTGAAGAACTGCTGACAGAAAACTTCCCCAATAACATGAAAGATGAAAAGCTGGCCATCAAAGAAGCTCAATGAAACCCAAATAGGATAGACCCTATAGCAAAAAGATGGAAACAACCTAGATGCCTATCAAAAGATGAATGGATAAGCAAACTATGGTACATACAAACAATGGAGTATTAGGCAATAATAAAGAACAATGATGAATCTGCGAAGCATCTCATAACATGGATGAAACTGGAGGACATTATGCTGAGTGAAATGAGTCAATCACAAAAGGACAAATATTGTATGAGGCCACTACTGTAAAAACTCATGAAAAAGAAACAATCTTTGAAAGTTACGATGGATGGGAGGGTTGGTGGGGGAAATACTAAATAAACAATAGATAAGTGGTAACTTTGGTGAAGGGTAAGACAGTACACAATACTGGGGAAGCCAGCACAGCTTGTACAAGGAAAGGACATGGAAGCTCCATAGACACATCCAAACTCCCTGAGGGATGGAATTGCTGGGCAGAGGACTGTGGGGGACAAGGTCTCAGGGAACATCTAGCTCGACTGGCATAACATCACTTATAAAGAAAATGTTCCACATTCTACCTTGGTGAGTAGCATCTGGGGTCCTAAAAGCTGTGAGCAGCCATCTAAAATACTCCACTGGTTGCACCCCTTTGGGAGCATGGGAGAATGAAGAAAACAAGATACAAGGGAAAGACTAGTCCAAAGGACTAACGGACCACAACTACCATGGCCTCCATCAGACTGAGTCCAGTACAACTAGATGGTGCCTGGCTACCACCACTGACTGCTCTGACAGGGATCACTACAGAGGGTCCCCGACAGAGCTGGAGAAAAATGTAGAACAAAAGTCTAACTCACAAAAAAAGACCAGACTCACTGGCCTGACAGAGACTGGAGAAACCCCAGAGTATGGCCCCCCAACACCCTTTAGCTCAGTAACGAAGTCAATCCCGAGGTTCACCGTTTAGCCAAAGATTAAACAGCCCCCTAAAACAAAAATGAGACTAATGGGACACAACAGCCCAGGGACAAGGACTAGAAAGCAGGAAGCTATAGGAAAGCTCGAAATAGGGAACCCAAGGTCGAGAATGTAGAGTGTTGACATGTCATGGGGTTGTTAACCAGTATCATAAAACAATATGTGGACTAACCATTTAATGAGAAACTGTTTGTTCTGTAAACCTTCATATAAAGTACAATAAAAAAACTTTAAAAGAAGAAAGATGTTATCAGTTAACTTAAAATGAGGTAATACTAGAGTAGGGTGAGCTCCAATCCAATATAACTGCTGTCATTATAAGAAGAGAAGAGACACACACAGAGAGACATGGGGAATATGGTCATGTGAAGACTAGAGCAGAGACAAGAGTGATGCATCTACAAACCAAGCAACACAAAGGATTTTCTGGAACCACTAGTAACTAGGAAAAGACAAGGATACATCTTTCCCTAGAGCCTTAACTGAGAGCACAGCCCTGTCTACAACTTGATTCAGACTTCTGGCCTCCAGAACTGTGAGGCAATGAATTTCTGTTGTTTTAGCCCACCGACTTTGTGGTATTTTGTGATGGCAACCACAGGAAATTACTACACTATTTTTTCACTGGAAGATAAAGGGAAGTTCTTATTCAGAGACATCTTAGGGTTAAAGAGGGGAAATAGAAGAAAACTCTAAATGGAGAATTGAAAATAACTTTCAGGAATTTTCTCCAAGTATTGTAGACACTGAATGATGTAACTTTGTCTATGAATAGTAACTCTTTGTCTTTCTGAAATGTTTTTGCTTGTGCATATGTTGTCTCTAAAATCTCACAACCTTCTGAATAATTATCTCCATGGGCATGCAAGAAAACTGAAGCTTGGAGCAAATGAGTAAGTGTCCCATGACACAGTTTTATTTTGTCACTTGGGGTCACTAAATTTGAAAGTGATTCAACAGCACCTAACAACATGTATTTGCTTTAAAAAAAAAAAAAAACTCATTTAGTAGTTAAATATCTGAAGTTGATAGACAATCACCACCTTTTCTCAGCAATACACGCTCATTTCTCAGATTCATTTCTAGAGATGGCTCCTTGGATGGAAAAGAAGAAAGGAAGAAAGTTCTTGTTCTAGCTCTCAAATCCCTAAAAGATGGTATGAGCAGCACAAGTTGGGGAAAGCCATGGAAATAACCACAGGGGTGTTAGCAGTTCTTGAGAGACTACAGTACGTCCAAATTATTAGATGGTAAATACTTGAACTGCCTAGTAATCTGAAGTTCAAAATCTATCCAGGAGGAATGACAACAATAAAAATATAAATTAAAATTTTTTTTTAACAATCTATCCAGAAAGGAAAAAAAAGAATGCTACGCAGCACTCATGCTAGAATTAAGAGAGTTTGAATCTAGAGTACACAGTTTAATGAGCTACTACCAAGACTCCCTTTGTTCATTTCTCCTGAGACTAAAGACCACTATGCCTTCTTAGGAAGAAGCACCTGGCAGAAAGATACTCCTCCTCAATATATTCACATTAGAACATCAAGTCTTGTGCTGAATCAGCCAGGGAACTGTAGTGTCAGACTGCTGTAAAAACCTCAACATTTGACAATAGAGCCTTTGAGGAATCCAGGCCAATTTGCTGCATGGAGTACACACAGTTTCTAGAAAGTTCAAGAAACTTTTTCCTGAGGAAGGGCATTTGTATTGATGAAACAGAGCAGGCATATGCAACAATAAGAAGCAAAAGTAGGAGCCACGACACTCACCTTGTGATAGGCCAGAACATTTCCCACAAAAGGCAGAGGCTTAGGCCCAGGAATCCCGAGCTTCTTTAGAACATTATGTGAATAGGTTCCATATCTATAAAGTGAGAGACAAGACAGGTCACCAGAATTTTAGTATAGATGTCAGTGTTAGGGAGGTAACATGTAAGTGATAAATAGCAATAACAACTCCAACAGCAATAATCACATCTCATCACCATCTCCTTTCTCATTTCTTCTGTGAGACCCACAAAAAGTAATAATGATTAGTGAAAAGCTGCTAAAACCATCCTGATACTAATCCTAGAGTGAATACTTGAAAAGGTCCCCAAACTTTGGGCTCCTAGGAGGTTCAAGTTGGAACTTTTCCAGAGTCTTTGCTTGTGTCCATTTCATAAGTGGACTCTTACAGGATTTGAGGGTTCCCATTATATGTAAAGAGGTTCCTAGGCGGTGCAAACAGTTTGTGCTCAGCTGGTCACCAAAAGGTTGGCAGTTAGAACTCCACCAGTGGCACCACAGAAGAAAAGACCTGGTATCTCCTTCCATATGGATTACAGCCATGAAAACCCTACGAAGCAGCTCCACTCTGTAACAAATAGAGTCGTCAGAAGTCAGAATCAACAGGACAGCACAAGACAATTCGAGGTAGAGAGGAGAAAAAAACTTCTTGTTCTGATGATAAGGTTTTGCATATTCATCACAGAGGGTTAACAAGAGCCTAAAGGAATGTTTTTTCTTACTATTTACTCTGAGGTGTTTATTATGCTTTTCCTTCACTATATGCTCTGACCCACATTTTAGGGTCTGGTTCTTCTTAAATATGCCTTCACAGAGAGGTCTCAGAGAAGGCACAGTTTCTGAAGTCTATATCTAAATCTACAGACAAGCCTTGCCACTCTGGTGTTGTTACTGAGAGATGGCTAACTAGAGGAAGAAGTGAGGCTGAGGGAAGAGCTATTGACAACCATTCACAGCGAAGCCGCTTGTCCTGCAAGGTTAGCACCATAGAAGCAATTTAGAAACATATACTTGAAAAGTATAAACGTTTCAACATGCCCTACAAATGTATTAAGTTAAAAGGGAAGGGACTTTCTAAAATCCAGGCCACTTCGTTACCCAACATAAAATAACCTGTTGCCATGAAGTTGATTCTGGCTCATAGCGACCCTGTAGGAGAGAGTAGAACTGCCCCATAGAGTGTCCAAGGAGCAGCTGGTAGATTCAAACTGCCAACCTTTTGGTTAGCAGCCAAACTCTTAACCTACTGCACCACAAGGGCTCCAACATAAAATAAGCGATCATAAAATGTGATGGGCAGCGGTAAATGAGACCTTGTTTTCTCTTCTTTGGAGGTAACCCCTTTAATTCAGTGTCAGTGCCAAATATTTCATACAAATCCCATCAATCTTTTAACATGCAATAAAATAAAACCTTAAAAGGACATGTAGGTCAGCAACAAAAAGAAATGAGCTATCAAGCCACAAAAAGGTATGGGAGAAGCTGAAAAGCATATTGCTAAGTGAAATGTCTCCTTCACTCTCAATATTACCCATTTGAGTGACCTTTTTTTTTTTAAACGTTCCTCTGCTGGATTCTTGTTGACTCATTTAGGTCCAAATTGGTAGTCAATTCCAAGGAACAATGTCACTAAACACTCCTTGCCACAGAAATTTGGATTTGTGAAGTGGGGCGGGGATTGCTTATGAAGCAGTGACTTCATAGGATCTGCATAAGATGACTAATAACCACTTATGGCTTTGTAGCAGCCAACACTTATGCAACTTCCCCTCCTCTATCTTTTTTTTTAATCTTCAAAACAGCCAGGGAATAGTGGTCATATAAGCATGATAACCCCAATTCCAATGTCACAGAGGAAGGTGGGAAGCTACTTACAGGTAGAGGAGCACCAGGCTAGTGGCCAGAAGAATCCAGGTCTCCGTGGAAAAGCTTGGGATCAGGTCCATCGTCACTTTCCTTGCCTGAGAACCTCCTCTGAATTTTCCTTTGATCTGGGTGTGCTGATCTCCACTAGCAGTGCACAGCCTCCTTCCCACCCCAGCTGTGAGTCTGGGAGGATGCTGGCAGGTTTATGTACTTGGAAGGGGGTGGGTCCAAGCAGCAGCCAGTGAAAGGGCCACCTGAACTCCATCTGCAGCCTGGGGAGTTCAAGTTATACTTTGAACTAGGCAATAGTTGGAAGCAAAGCATCCAAGTATACCCCCACTTTGATCTCCCTGGAGTTCGTATTTTGTGGGAAATCTATAACTAAACAAATCAGTGTTATCAGTAAACTCAAAGGTTACTGGCACTTACCAGAAATTCCAAGTGAATCTAATGGAACCGTTAACTGTCTATGTTACCTAGGGTGTTTTGTAATAATTTGGGTTTAAAAAACATGTTGTTGTTAGTTGCTGTCAAGTCGCTTCCAATTCATGGCAACCTTATATATAACAGATCAAACATTACCCTGTTCTATCCCATCCTCACAATTGCTGATATGTTTGAGGCCAATGTCGCAGCTATTGTTTAAAAAATAAACATTATAAATCTGAAAATTTTTTTAAAAGAAGGAATTTCAAGTGAAGGCACTGGCCTTAAAACTATTATGACCTTCATTTTCAACATGGCTACTCTTACTCCAAAATTTTTGAAATTCCTCCAAACAGGTAGAAGAAACTCATGCAATGTCCTCTACCTCAAGTGCTTTTGTGACTCTGGAAGACTCCTATTCATCTTGCAAAGCCCAGATTAGATGGAAGCCTCATGGCTAGAGTCCTACCTCCCTAACCACCTCAAATTTAACCACTTTTTCCTCTGCACAGCTTCCAGCCTCTTACATATTTCTATTGCTGTTTTGTTCACCCTCCAGCACCATTGTTTATTTCCCTTTTCAGATCCTGAACTACTCAAGGGCACAGTTAGTGTATTAGTCACAGTCATGTCCCTAGTATCTTGCAGAGTGCCTTACACGAGTGCTTGCTGAAAGCTAAGAGGACTTGAAGTACTTACTGAAGAAAATCAAAACCTACAGCCTTCAGTATGGATTACACCACAACATGAAGAAAACAAAAATCCTCAAAACTGACCAATAAGCAACATAATGATAAATGGAGAAAATGTTGAAGTTATCAAGAATTTCTTTTTCCTTGAAGCCACAATCAATACCGACAGAAGCAGCAGTCAAGAAATTAAGCAACATATTGCTTTGGGCAAATCTGCTGCAAAAGACCTCTTTAAAGTGCTACAAAGCAAAGATGTCACTTTGAGGACCAAGGTGCCTCTGACCCAAGCCATGGTATTTTCTATCACCTCATCTGCATGTGAAAGCTGGACAATGAATAACGGAGACCAAATAAGAATTGATGCCTTTGAATTATGGTATTGGCAAAGAATATTGAATATACCATGGACTGCCAGGGTAATGAAAAAATCTGCCTTGGAGATGTATAGCCAGAATACTCCTTACAAATGAGAATGGAGAGACTTCATCTCACATGCTTTGGACATGTTATCAGGAGGAGCCAGTCCTTAGAGAAGGACATCATGCCTGGTAAAGCGGAGGGTCAGCAAAAAAGAGTAAGACCCTTGATGAGATGGATCGACACAGTGGCTGCAACAATGGGCTCAAACATAGCAACGATTGTGAGGATGGCACAGGACCAGGCACTGTTTTTGTTCTGCTGTACTGCTTGGGTACAAAGATGACTAAGATTCATACATTATTCAGATTAAAGATAGAGATAAACAAACAGATTACTATAGTACAACCAAGCAAAAAGTAAATATACAGGTATGAGAAATGTGTCCTTATCCACATAGTACCTTACCTATCTTCTCAGTCTTGTTGGCAGTTGGCCAAAGTTGAATCTCAAATAATATTCAAAGACACATTAAGCTCTCACCCAAGCATAAATGGACAACTTGTCCAGAGACTCAGGGACTCAAGGAACACCATGTTTGATGCTTTCATCCTCTTATACTGAGAGCCCAAAAGGCACATATTCTGGGAAGTGTATCCCAACTCCCACTGGCCAGGTAAATGTTCACAAAATGAGGAAGCACTCTTGTTCTGGAATGACTTGGATAACAGATATACATTTCACAGATCACAATCTTGAGTATGCAAAAAAGAATGTAAGATGATTTGCCTGCAACACAGCTCTAAAGTCTCCATTCTTCTTGGCAGAGGAAAATTTGATCTCACCAAATTAGAGTAGCCAGGTAGAATATAAGTTTTGGAGGCTAGGGGACAGGAGTAGCCCTATGCCCTCATGGTGGGGGTGGGGTTGTTACTGAAAGCAGTGCGTTTGCTGCCTGCGCTCTTGTTAAGAATAACTAAGAGTCGTGAGGATTTCAGGCAAGGCATGGTTTATTACTGGCAGCAAGTAAGGAGACAGGGAGATAGCTCCCAAAGCACTGTCTCTCTAAATAAAGGGCTGGAAGAAGTTTTATACTACTCGGGAAAGGAGAAGTCATACACATTCATTAAACGTCTGGGAAATGGCATGCATATTCAAAAAGGGGTGTGGGGTGGGCATGTAGGCTGACCGAGCAACTGGTTGCTAAAGATGGAGGCACGTGTTCCCTCAAGATGGCTCCTTGTGTACTCTTGACATCCGTGTGTTCCCAAGAAAATGACAGCGTATACTGAAACATGGAGACCGGGTTCACCTTCAAGTCACCTACTGTTTCATGGCACATGCATGAAGTCTGGTTTTAGTTGGCTTGCCTGAAAAACAACTGTAAGCAGGAAGATTAGAAGGAAACAGGGTGGGATGACTCATTATCTTGGTCACAAGACACTGTAGTTGCTCAGAAATTTTCTACTGACACAGCTTGTTGCCTGAGGCCTATCCAGTTCCTAGCTGGTCTCAGGGGGAGGCAGGTCCTTGGCCATTCTCTGTCCTCTCCTTAGAGTAGGTGTGCACCTCACCTCAGTGTCATTGTGTGTTGGTTGTGCTCTCTCCTTGCTAGGTTCAGGCACTAAATATAAAAGAGACAGAATCCTTACCCTCACATAGTTTACAGTCTAACGGGGGGAGAGAGACACTAAACCAATAACCATACATATAACTATTGCATTACAACTTCGGATAAATGCTACCAAGTAAAAGAACCTCTGTACTTAGGCTCCCAGCAGTATTTGATACTGTTGGCCCTTTTCTGTTTCCTTAAACTCTCTCCTCCTCTGAAAGCTAAGAAGACAACAGAATCAACAGGACTTGATGGATTGCAAGTGTGACGTTGGACAAGCCTGGGCCTGTTTCTTCATCTTTCATTGAGGAAAATTGATCAGAATTGACCTAAGAAGACCAAGGTTCTCCTTTTCCCAACCTTCATGCCCCTTCAGAACCACCTGCCTCTCTCTGCCTCTGTGTCCCTCTAGGAATTTCTCCTCCTGCACCATGGTGTGGGGAAACCCCAACTCTGACATCTCCCTCTGGCAACCCTCAACACCGTGCTGGAAAAAGGACTCCCCTCAGAAGTTTCCAAAACATATCCTAGGGGATCTAGAGCAATTATTCTCTGCCCTGATATCCCCTAGCTCTCCATGGGTTTTCTATAATTCACCTCCACTCCCCTACCCTTAGGCTCTAAGACAAATAAGAATGTTCATCCTCTTTCCCTGAGACATGGAAAACTAGTTTTTAAGCTTTAAATATCCATTTAGCAACCCAGACACTGAGCACTGGCTAGTTATCTCTCTGTGCTCTATCTATAATAATATAAATCTTCCCTGGAATAAAGGATGCCTATGACTAAATTCAGAAAGGCTGAAGTTCAAGAAATTGTGACAAATGGTGAAAACTGTAGTCCTGTCTTCAAATCCATCTTACTACTTTTATGTGTCTGTCTCCACTCTTGGTTCATCAGTTCCTATAGGAAATGAGATTTTCACCCTACAGAAACAGCGTTTGTCAAGTTCACCATGATCTTCTAAATTCTAAATACTCAATCCAATGGATGTTTGCAAACACTTTGTCTTTCATTCATTCATTCATCTAGGCAATGGGTCAAGCACTTAACATAAAGTAAAGGACAAAAGAGACACAACCCTAGTCCTCACAAATCACAAATCTTCCACTCTGTGGGAGGGAGAGAGGCACTAAACCAATAACCATGCAAATAAATATCACATCACAAATTGAGATCAGTGCTATGAAGTAAAGGACCCCCCTTCTTAGGCTACCAGCTGTATTTGATACAGTTGGCCCTTCTCTGTTTCCTCAAACCCTTTACTCCTCTGAAAGCTATGAAGACAATGGAATCAGCAGGACTTGATGGAATGGAAGTGTGACATTGGACACAGCTAGGCTTGTGTCTTCATTTGCCCATGAGGGAAACTGACTAGAATTGATGTGATAGGACCAAGGTTCTCCTTACTCTAACTTCAACACCCCTTCAGAACCGCCAGGCTCTCTCAGGTCTTTGTCCTTCTGGGGTTTT